GAATGCAAAGAATCAAAGTTACCTTCCAGGAGTATTATTTATATTTGAAATAGTTTTGATAATATTTGCATATCATTTAATACAATATGTTGGAAAATAGAATATATCTTCTGGAGAGAATATCATTAAATGTCATTTGGTTAGAGAAAATATTGAAAAATTGTTAAATACTTAACGTAAAGAATTTATTAGAATTTCAAAACGAAACAATTTTCTAATCTAAAATCAATATTACAGATATTACCACAATCTATAGTCGCTTTTGCGTTGATACATCAGATACAAGAGATTCCTTTCTTTCTATTTAAAATAATGTCAAATCGAAATTCTACACTACACTCGATCAAACTGATAACAACCTCCATATCCAAATTTTGTCACAAGTTGTCCTCAAATACTTACAATGAATTTTAACCGTGAATGCAAACGAACATCCGCGGAATATTTCAACCACGAACCCTTGCTATCTGCTTCTTTTTAACATTTTGTGACTTCTCCAGTGCTCATCTTCGAAAACCAGAAACATGACGACGACCACAGGCGATCCGTCGACTCTGAAGAGTCCAGCCTCGCTCTCCGGCGGCGATTTGGTGTCCCGCCTTCTAGCAGCGACTCCTCCATACCTGTACAACGTACCCTTAACACCGCATAGCTTCTTCTTCAGCGAGATGTTGCGTTCGTTTGTGCAAGCAAAGACGGAAGTATCATCGGCGAACAACACGACGAGCGTACCTCGACGTCGCAAAAGATCTTGGCGAGACGCTCGGGATCGTCCGTTGGAATTAACCACGAAAGAAAGACAACATCATCACCATCACCATCACTCGCAGCACCAACAGCAGCAACAGCCGCCGGATAAATATTTCCATACTCAACAGCAGCCACAGCAAGCGGAGACGCGACTGGAGAACGGAAGTAAGCAAAGCGACGGCTACGACACCGCAAGTAAAGTGGGCAACTTCGAGCAGAAGCCAAACTTCGGGACAGACATTTTGAAACCGGTGGATGAAAATAAATCTGAGTTTAGCAAGCAGAGTAAGAGCTTTTTCGACGAACGACCTCGTCACTTTGAGCAGGCCCAACCACCGGAAAACATGTTCGCCAGTGAACTGCAGAAAGTCAAGCCGGAAGAGTCTCACTCTAGCGACCGTAAGAATTGCAATTACAACGACAGAAACCCGTACGATGATCGTACGAAGAGCGCGATTGGCAATCAAGAGCTACCACCCCTGTTATCAGATCAGAAGAAGCTCGATTTCTCGAGGACCTTTTTGCCCAGCCTTCCAGGAAGGGGCTGCGATATGCTTCCGGGCGTGAAAGGATTCGGTCTGCCCGGGAACGTCACCAACCCGGAATTCCTCCCTGGTCCACTTTGGTATCCGCCTTATCCAATGCCTCAATCATATCCTGGCATCGATCCTCTACATTTCTTCATCGACCTTCGCGTATCCGGCCATATCTGGGATCGCAAGTTGAGCGAGAGGCAACTGCCCTTCAAAGGCAAGCACTGTTCCGCCTTCAGTGTGCCACAATCCAAGGAATATAATAGCAATCGACCGTTAAATTTGACGAGAGACGAGGCTAGCACGTCTAGGAACAGCGAGGAAAATCTACGTGGCACTAATTATATTTTGAGACACTTGACTAGGACGTACAGGGACATTGGCCAGGCACGGAAAGCAACCAGGAGCGAAACATCGACTTCTGGCGAGAGCGAAGACAGTTCAAAGGACATTGATAATAGTGGGTGTTAATAATTGTTTGTTGCATGATTGGTGTTTTTGTTACGATTCGTTTCTATTTTCTTAATACAGTTGAAGTAACTCGTGTTCTGACATGGTGTTTTAATGTAACTAAACGTGTGCGATTGTATAGAGAATTACTTGTTTGTTCTCATCGTTAAAGATCTAAATTTGTTTATTATTAAAAGTCTAAATGTTTCTAACACAGATCGGACTGTGAAAGATTACGATAGTGAACAAGAAAGAGATCTTTTTAGAAAGAAATCAACGTTAAAATTACAATACTGCTTATAAGGGATTATTCTGTAATTTTTTTTCGACTAGACAGCTTTTGAGGCTCGAAGTAAAAGTTAACTTGAATTTCAAATCAAATGATTTCAACTATCGACAAGAGTAATGACAATAGTAGTAAAAATGACGATTCCATACGGTACAAAGTTAATATTCACAAATGAGAAACAGGATATTCGCAATTAATCTCGTCATGAACTAGATAAATCTCATTATGTCATACGAAACGCTTTCTCGTATAAAATTTGAAAAATGTTCGTATTATACGTAATATTGATTTCTTAAAAGAACGTATCTCTAATTAATTAAGCTTTTGTGTGTTACAAAATGCAGACGAAAGATCTCCAAAACCGGAAGAAATCTCGGTTGCGTCCACAAGTCCGGAAGAAGAGAGGAAGGATCTTCGAGCGTTGATAGGGTTGGAACTGGTGGTGGATTATGTGAAAGAGCCGAAGGGAGATACCTCGAACGAGCAGAATTCGCAAGTAACCGAATAACTCGTGAAAATCGAACGATTCTCTTTCGTTCTTGACTGTATAAATAGATGTAGCTCCGACACTTACAATCTCAGCTGGTTCTCACTCGACTACGTCGTTCATGTAGAATGTTTAAAAACTGAAATTCCATGACTTTTTTCATTCGTTGCGAAACAATCAAATTCAACAGATTGTCAATTTGACAAAAAATTGCATAATTATTTAACGATATTTCTTATTTAAAAAAAAATTTATTTCACAGTCGATACCATAGATCGAATTTTATCCTTTACGATTCTTTATAGCATTTAGAAACTTCATTGTAGTCGTTTCTCTAGTCAAATGTAAATTGTTCGGTTGACAATGTGTTAATGTCCCTTTGAATTATACACGGTGTCAAAGAATGTTAATAGCGAAAGAACATGGAATATCTTGCTATTTTTCTGAGATATTCCTCCCACTAATTCGTTTCGTCTTTTCTTTTTCTTTATTTTCGATGTGAATATTTAGAGACAACCTTGTACATTTAGAAACGATACATTGAAAAACTAGCAGCCTCGAACTTTTATCGGTGCTATCAATTGCGTAAATGTGGATGTGGCTGCCCTAATCTGACAGACCAAGCAATACATAAGCCTGCTATCTATTCACGCTCAATACGCAACTGAACAGCGTGAGACTTACGACATTTTTTAATATCGCAGTTTAGTCACGGTACTTTCCAGATACATTGAGTTTTTCATTCAGCAATCTGTACCACCGTGTCTGTCGTTCTTTGAAGACTCTTCCTATCTTACACTCGAGACTCGGCTCGAAAGAGTCATTTTCTACCAAGGAGGATCTTAGAGATCCCTTGCGGGCCGGAAACGCTCTGCTACGAATTCAACTATATGTGATATGCGGTGTACATATTATAGTAGCGTTCTATTGTATCTATATGTATTAATAGAAATCATTCGACCTGTATATTAAACGTAATAAAAGTAATGCGATTCAATCACGTGAACGAATTCGTATTCTTTCGAAAATTACCGTAGACCATTTTATATCCTACATTGCGACAAGCTTTCTACCGCTGATTGTACCTTTAATATCAATTCCTCTTTTATAATAGCTAACTTAACAAAATTTTGCTCAAATATTAAAACTGCAAAATCTTTCAAAATAGAACTGTCTCTTCCGCGTTTTTCTATTAATAAAAAGCAATTGATTAAAAATCACTTCGGTAGACTTAGGAGCCTACGAACACTCTCATATACTCAATCACAAAAACCACAAAATAATTCAAACATTTAATTATGAAATCCCATCGAATAGACAATAAAACTTACGAAATGTTCAACTGCGAAAACCAACTAGTAAATTATAGAGATGAAAATACTTACGACATATCCGATTACAAGAACAAAAAAAAGAAAGAGGCAAGATTAAGAAAACGACAGAGAAATATTTCTGCTCTGGATCAACTGCACGAGCTTACGATCGTAAGTTACGTCCAACACACGAACTTAAAGGTACATTCTCACGAGTACCATCTAAGTACGAATGGACTGAATGCTCGTTGAGCTCGAGGTCGATCTTTCAAAGTGAAACAGAAGAAGGAAGGATGATACAGTCTACGGCACATGCCGCTCCTTCACCTTGCTGAATGCATCGGCACTCGTTATAATTGGGAGTACCCTCGAAGGAACGCACACAGAAAGGGAACGTCATATTCAGCCGGATATGGTCACACCCTCGCCCCCATCAGTCTCTTGACGTTATTTGACTAATAAACTTCTATCCAGGGTTCTCCTTCATCGATCGAGATACTGTTTCCCGGTTTCGTCTCTCTGTCTATCGTTGTCGACACGGCTCTCTTTGACACGGCCGTTGACAGAGTACAATTAGGGGAACCGAGTCCCCGATATGTATGCGCAGAATGACAAGAGATACGTGGCTTTTAGGGACGAGGGCAAATCTGACGGGAGATATCGATCTGCCGACTCATTTGCAAAGGCTGGATGGAAAAGTTCGTCGACGTGTTTGCGGCCGATTAGATAGATGAAGATGCGTTTCCAATGTGGATTTCCATTGGGTGATCATTCGAGAAATTCTTTTGTTCTGATATTCTTTGGTGATTAATTGTCTCGAAGTATCTGCTAACTTTCCTTCGCTTTTCTTTACGCAAGTTTGATTTATTTCAACTTATTTCGATGAAAATTCGAGAAAAATGCAATGGAAATTGTAGGAAATTAAATAGCGTTAAATCTCTCTAACTTTCGGAAAGAAGAATCTCGCGAGCTTTACATTAATTCTTTAGAAATTAAAATTTTTCTTTTTCAACTAAGTATTACTAAAATTTGTTAACTTTTACGGAAATTCAGGATCGACGTTATAGATCTCAAAAAACGTAAAATATTTGAATAAACGTTATTTATTTGTCTCATCTCTAAATATTACGATCGGAGTTTTAATCTTTCCAGTAAGAAAAGTAGTACGTAATTATCAATTTATGTTTTATAAAATTATCAGTTTATTTTTATCACACTGTATGTAGTATTCACGCTCGTTCGTATACCTGATAAATTCCTCAAACAGTATCGTGATTAGCGATAACGCGAAGCTCCAAGATCACTTCACCCTTGTTGTTCCTATCGATTTTCACCATTTTGCGGTTCACCTCCGGGACCATGATAATATCATCTGATCCGACTCTCTTAACAGGTGCTTCGACTAATTTGTAACGCGTGATCGGTACCTCCTCTTTGTTCACTTCCATGACCGGCTTTTCCGGCGCGACAAGCGTGTACACCTAATTTCAACATGATACATGATTAGTACGTGCATTGGTATCTGCACCTACGTGGAAAATTTTTCGATTAATAGAATTAATAGATACGAGGTTCATACGACTTCAATTTACGATTGTTATCGATGTCCAATTTACTGATTATTGGAAAAAGTGATTCTCTGAAAAAATTGGACTCGTCAGAATTGTCAATTTTTTTTTTAATTCTGTAATGAAATAGTCAGTGACGTTCTATCAAAAAGAAAACACTATTCTAATTGATGTTTCTTTGTGTTCGGTTGCTTTATGCCATAATTTCACTTTAATTGCTTTTCGAGAGCATTAAAAAGAAAGCAATTTAAACAATATGAAACATAAATTCCCTCGGTATTTCGGTGAATTGGTATGAATTCTCTAGATGATATAACGTGAAAGACAATCACGTACTTTATATAATTAATTAATTTTGTATTTTTGTATTTTTAACAATTGATAAAAGAACGATCGATAAAAATTATTTATCTTGTGTAGAATTCATGATTCTACTGGTATTAATTTTCCACAATTTCATCATGAATAAAATATATTATGACAATAAACATAATGGAAACATCATTTGAACGAAGAAATATACAGAGTCGGGGATAGAAATAAAGGTAGTGGAAGTAGGTATCAACGAAGATTAATCGAACTAATAATTTCTTTAAGTTTCTCTTATTATATGTATATTTCTATAGTATATTATTTAGTAAATAATTGAAGCTAATAATTTACGTCTTTGCGTAAATAAGCCATATTTAACGAAACTTCGTTGACACTCGTTTCCATCACCTGTCCATTTCTTTTTGTTCTCGATTACGTGTTTGCAAATACATTACGTAACTGTGTTACGAAACAAACTCTATATTCTGCTTTTATTCGCTGTAAAAATCGAACGACAATCTTCACGATCCTTATCTCTACATTTTTTCGATCGCAATAAAAAGATGTTAGATAAATACTATCCATTATCGCAACAATCCCAATCGATGTATTTAAAGGTAAAATTTCACAGGAACGAATCGACTTACCTTTTTAACAGGATGTATCTTACTATCAGGATCGCTTGAGTCCCCAGCAAAGAAACTCAGATCCAAATCCCGCGAAGATTGCTCATTCGGAACGGGGAAAGTTAAGTCGTCGTATCGATTCTGGTCCAGAGTCGGCAAATAATAAACTCGTCCATTAACGACAACTACGAACGTCGTCAGGATGCTCACAAATATCCAACCGTTCTTCATCGTTTTGCGTACTCAGAGAGAACTACGAGTTAGAGGGCCGTGTGCTCGACGAAGAAAAGTAATAAAAAAAAAGAACTTTCCTCGTGACAGCTGACAGATCCATTAATCCATCGTAAGGCGATTACAGACCATTCTTTCGAATGATTAATTAAGAGTACAATCTGCCAACGGACGAAGAAACGAATAATAATTTCCTATTGGTCTAATTGTAAACGAAGAGTTGTTTCGTGTGGTCAGAAAGACTAATATACTTTTTTTCCTTTTTTTTTCATCAGGAAGCTTTGTATTATATTAAAAAGTGGAGGCGTATTGTTTTGTTATTTCGCAACAATGGCTAAAAATGTAGTACGAATGGAGTTTAAAATATTTTTATGCTGCCGACGGGTTTATTTCGCTATCTATGAAACATTTTTCGTCGACAGTAATGGATCCGTTTTGAAACATCCAATTATGAGGAAGTTGAAGTTCATTCATTCTATGAAATCAATAACTTTTAATAGTTGAGCCTGAGTTTTATGAAAAATAGTATAAAAAAGCGAAATTTTGACACGAACATTTTAAACTATAGTGATACACTATAGTGATATAGTGACCATTCAAACAGTTAATTACACGTACAGTAGACCTCTGTTTATTTGACTTTGTCGGAGAACCAAATAATTTATATAAAATAGAATTTATATCAGAAATTCACCGATACTTCCTACTGTCTATCATTTCTCGTTCACGTAATAGAAATGCATGTTCAGATAATAGAAACCAACCGGCAGGAATTTCTGTGCGTAATCGGACACTAACTAAAATTGCGGTCAAACGAATGGAGTTCGTATAAACGAAGCTCTACTGTGCGTATATTATGCTTATACTACTTTAAGATCGTTTCTAAATTTCCACAATGTGTTCTCATAATTCTTTCTCCAATAAGACAAATTCATCGTGCATCGTTCGTCACTTTCGTAGAACTCTCTTTGCTAACAGACTGACAGCTAATAAATGTCATTACTTTGAATACGACAGACAAGCTGCGGCGAGGAAAACACTGGTGCAACACTTGCGCGAAATCATTAACATAGGAAGAGAGTAAAGAAGAAGGAGAAAGAGAAAGAGAGAATATTGAGCAGAAAAATCGTAACTGCTCCGTCAGCAGCTTTTTACATTTCTGTTTGACGGTTCTCCGAAACGATCAGGCCCAGCGATTATGAACACTGAGACGGAAAATAAATCGCGGAACTCTAAACTGAGAGCGTCGCGTATTCATGGGGGTAGATACCGATAGATCCCCGATTTATTGTTCGCGTTCGAACCGGCGTCCGCTTTAAAGGCAGAAAACACGGTTTTCACTCGTAAAGGGGTGAAAGCGAACCGGGGGCGCGCGGGGCATGAAAATAGGTGAGGGGAAGAGGTGAGCGGGTGTGCATGTGCATTATTGGAACGCGACGAGAGATTAAAAACGACTTTTTCCAAAGGATCGGTTCCATTGACTGGGGTGCATTGCGGCAAGTCCTGAATAATGCATGAAATTTGTTCCCCGGAATCGAATCGTTTCTCGTCACCGCCAGCACCGGAACAAGAGAGCGAGCATAAATCTAAATAATTTCAACCCTCGAATTTTTATTATTCCTATGACTACGTCTGCGCCTCCGCGCTGAATATGCATGCCTTGCTTTCCGCACTTCGGCCTCGAGTGTTCCACCTTTTGTGTAACCAGCCCTTCGCCACAACTGATGATGCACCTTGCGACTGCCCCGGTCCCCGATACCGCTTAAATCGTCAACACACTGGTTAATTTTCCGTCTAAAACGAAATTAAATAAACGATTGCTTAGAAATCAGTGTTCTGGACGATCGAACAATCTTCGGTAAGCCGAAAGAGAATTAAGGCGAAACTAGCATCTTGTCCTGTAGAATTGATTTGACAGATTTGACTAGTCGGCTCGTAAATGAAAGCTTTCGTTAATATCGTAATTAGAAAATATTTGTTTTGGTAAGAAATATTTCGAAAGGCTAAGAAAGAAAAGATTCATATGTATTGAAAATTTAGTGATTCTATATATCATAGTTGAACAGAAAATTTAATATCAAAAATTTACAAAAGGTCAGTCATTATTCACTCGAGGAATCTCGATAAATCACAGAAAGTATTAACGAGCAGCGAAGATGACACCGGATCTTCCCCCATCCCATCCTCTTCTTTTGCCTGTGAAATATAGCCGACAACTTTTCTCATACTTGAGAATTTTCTTTAGAAGCATACTGTACTACGGAGGAAAGAGTAGAGGAAAGGGGAAGTTATAAAGTGTCCAAGACGGACGCTATAACAATATTGCAAAGGATAAAATTATGTAGCGTTTATACCACAAGAATTATATTTTTTACAATATTTCGTAAAACATCAGAAATGAAAATTAGCGTAATTAAAAAATTCTCATCTTATGATATTCATACGAATATTAATATCTATAAATACGTTTGATTGTAAAAATAAATCTAAATTTTCATATTTTCATATTTTAATATTTTATTCAAATATTACTGTAAATAAAAACACAAAAAATAATGAGTTATGTAACAATATGAATTACATTTCTGAAAAATTATTGTTAGTAGCATTATTTTTCAATATTTATAATTATATTCACAAACGATCTATAGGTCAAATAATGGACACAACACATAGAATCCATAATATTTTATTTATGTGTAATACTGCGCAATATGTTACTTCTTAAAACTCTTCCTCGAGGCACACATTATCAACAACTTCATTCTAAGGTATTGTACAGAATTCCTAAATTAATTTACATGTTTACTTTTTACAGATTCTATTAGAATCTTTCTTTTACAATAAGCAAGTATGACAATCATACATATACGTGTATTCAGTCGCATTGCAATAATATCGTATTAAATGCTATTACACATTAACAAATCTACAAATGTTGAGTAACATCAAGTTTTACAATAAACTAATTCAAGTACTCAACAAATTATCTAAATGAGTGCAAATATAAATGAAAAAGATATCCTTTACCTACATTGAACATCTCTGCAATTCAATCAAATAAATTGCACATACATTTTGAAGGAACACATTGAAAAAAATTTCGAAAAAAGAAACAAATTACAAAGATATTTAAAAACAACGTTTTACATCACATGTATTATTTCTACGAGTATTTGGCAGTTTATACCCAATAAATTTTATATCATCTATTTAGCTAATGCTGAAACCTTTTTGCAAATTTCATTAGTGTATTCACTGCATTTTGCAGATCCACCAAGATCTCCAGTTAAATGTTTGCCTTCTTTAATAGTGTCATAAGCAGAAATTTCGATCAGTTTAGCATGTTCATTTAGCCCCATATATTTAAGCATCATTACAGCAGAGAGTAATAATGCTGTAGGATTCGCTTTATCTTGACCTGCTATATCTGGAGCAGTTCCATGCACCTATTTTGGGACAAAATTATTATCAAATCACGCCCTATCATATTATAATTATATTATAAAAGAAATATAAAATTTTGTCTACTCACAGATTCAAACAATGCGCCATTCAGACCAATATTTCCACTTGGTGTAAGACCAAGTCCTCCTACAAGTCCAGCACACATATCAGATAAAATATCACCATATAAATTAGGCATTACAAGTACATCGTATTGACTAGGATCTTGAACCATGTTTAAGCATACTGTATCTAAATATTTTTCTTCAAATTTAATAGAGGGAAATTTTTGTGCAGCTTCTCTACAACACCTTAAGAACAAACCATCTGACATTCTCATTATATTTGCTTTATGTACAGCGGTCACCTATTAAGGAAATTAATAGTTGCCTAAAATATTTGTTAGCTTCTTTTTTAAGTTAATTTTTGAATAAGTAGATTAAAAACCTTTTTTCTATTATTATCCTGAGCATATTGGAAAGCAAATTCCGCTACTCGACTGGAAGCTTCCTCTGTAATCAATTTAATTGATTGTACAACTCCTTCTACAATTTCATGTTCTATACCAGAGTATTCTCCTTCTGTATTTTCTCTGATAGTGACAACATCAACATTGTCATATAATGTCTTATATCCTTCCAAGGAACGACATGGTCGAACATTGGCATATAAATTAAATTCTCTGAAAAAAAAAAAAATAAAAATAAAAGAAAGAAATATATAAATGTAAATTGTCGAAATATATAAATTATCGAATAGTTTTAAATCCTTGCTACAGTCTACACTAAAGCAGTCTACACTACTTCAAATAATTACATGTTTACATTGACATTTGTATGACAATTATGTAACTTAAACAGCTCATAACAAATATATGAAGATTGAGACAATATTGTGATGTTTGATTGATGTTTGAAGTAGATACACTTAACTATTCTTAATTACACAAGATAAAAGTAGGCTTACTTTCTTAATGCAAGATTTAAAGATCTATGTCCTTTTCCTATAGGTGTCATCAATGGTCCTTTCAGACCAATTTTATTTCTGTTAACTGAATCAATGGCAGCTTGTGGAATACCAAATTTTCCATCTGGACCTCTTACCGGTGTTACATCAACAGATTCCCACTCTATGGGTACCTGGTATTTAAGATAATATTACAAGTATATGTGAATGCATATAAAGAAATACAAAATGTTTGGGTACAATCTTATCTAACATTGGATACATTCATCTTTATTAGTGCTGTTATATGAAAGAATAAACTGTATAGGTATATATTAACATACATATAGATACTAACAGTTGAGTAACAGTGTTATGCAATACATGATATATGAGTGATACTATTAAAGTTTCTTCATTCATGCTGAAAAATAGTACATTGTTGTTTCTCAATATTAAAACTATTATGCATCATTATTACACATATAAATGAAAACAAATTAATAATCTCATGCATTTATTTGAAATTCACAAAATATACACTGTGTTTATAAAAAATATACAAATTAAAAAGAACATACCCTGGCTACAAGAGCAGACTGAATTAGCCTACAATTGGATCAACCTGTATAAGAGTAAGATTAAAATAAACTCCTTAAGGTTATTAGTAGGACACTTAGGGTCACCTTGTAAGGTTCAAACCACAAATAATGAAAAAATTAAAACAGTTACTCAAAATGTAATATCTACTGTGCAAAAATGTAACAGAAATGTCAAAGTGGACACATGTTATCAATATACTTCCATTCGACTGATAAGACATGCAATTACCTAGAAATATCATGCATAATGAAAACTGTTAACATATAAAATTATTTGTGAAAACCATTTTACCTTGGCAGCATCGAAAATCTTTTGTACTGCAGTTGAAATTTCGGGTCCGATACCATCTCCGGGAATAAGTGTGCATTTGTGAACTTTATTGCTGTAAAAACGGACACAGCCAATTTTGGGGACCTGTTAATCAAATATCAATAAGATTGATAATTATTAATAAAAGAACACGCGGAATACTACTATATTTCGTAAAGAAAGATAGTACGAAGGTGGTACTGAGAAATTGATATAATGTCAAAGGAGGAAAGAAAAATTATAAATGATATAAGGAAAAGAGATAGTTTGCCAAGCTGTTAGAGCCCTCAGCAGAAAGATATAACCAAGATATGAAATATTCTAACCTCATTGTTTGAGAATGATCACAATTACGTGTAGGACACTTATTGTTTTTAGAATTTCTGGATTGACACGTGTTACTTACTGCATTTCGTATCCACTGTGCTGCCATTCTCTTTGTAAATTTTATAATAAACACAAGAACTTCCACCACCCAAAATTGTTGCGCACGTCAGAAGCAGCACCAAAAACCCAGAGATGTGAAATGAATCACAGTTGTGATTGGTTCCCGCGAAACGATGTCTTCTGCTATTCGGAAACGGAACATAATGGTCGATAGTATCGAACATGACGAGTGGCTCCACATATACCGACATTTTGATTTACAAGATAATGGCTAAGGGCAAATTTATTTTCAATAATTGAGATTGTCTTTTCAAACTTTTTTTTATCATTTTTCAAACAATAAACTATCGAAATAAGAATATGAAATAATAAACATTCTTGTAACATTTAAAAAAAATTTATTTAATTTAAATATGAATATTGATACGTGAATTTTGATTGGCTACACAATCGAGTTTTAATTTTTCCGAAGACAATAGCTCGAGTTTGAAACTTCTCAATCAGTTATGTTCAAATGTTTAATAATCACAATCGTGTAATGTTTTCTAAATATGAAATATAATTTATACTTGCAACGTAGAAGGGTAGCAACGTAATATCATAGAAATATTATAATCAAATGATTTTTATAGTTTTATTCGTATCTTTTTAAATAAGAACTTATTTTGAATACAGTAGTTTCCGGTATGGTTTAGCATTTCCTCGGACGGCCATTTTATAGGACGCTTCACCGTCGCGTATGTTTGCTTATTCGGTATCTTTTACTCTTTTTAACGAATAAACTATTTATATGTTCTTTAAATAATTTAGTTTATTCAGTGCAAAAAGCGTTGACAATGATTAAGCAAGAGGAGTAAGTATAAAATTGATATTTATAATAATTCATTGTCTATTCTTTGTCGGCGTGGAGAATCATGTACAATTAACACAAACCGACGCTAGTACATTTTCAACGTATCAGCAGTATACATTTTTTTTAGCAAGTATTTGTTGAATCACTCAATTTAGTTAAAATTTATACAAATTATATATTGAAAAACATATAATAAAAGTTGTAGGTACATATATTAACAAGCAACAGTAAAACGTGTTTTCTCTTACACGAGTTAGTTCTATATAATCTTGTTAAATATTAGGGGTCAAGTACAGAATAACGAGGAGAGAGATCGAAGTAGAGAACGTGATCGTAACAGGAGAGCGGAACGACAAAATCGCATAAATTCTACAAGCCGTGATCGTAGTAGGGAACGAAACGATCGCGGTCGAAAAGCTTCAGATCGACGAATCTATGTATCAAACATTCCCTATGATTTTCGCTGGCAAGATCTTAAGGATTTATTCAGAACAGAAGTTGGTAAAGTTGCTCATGTCGAACTTTTTACTGACGAAAATGACAAACCAAGAGGTTGTGGTATTGTTGAATTTGAAGATTCAGACTCGGTAAAAATTGCTGTAGAAAAAATGCATCGGTATGATATTAAAGGGAGAAAGCTGGTCGTCAAAGAGGTAGTTAGTATATTGTTATTTTTTCAACTTCCTTACAACTTGGATGGGTACCATGCAATCAGTGTTAAGGACATGTTTAATATTTATGCATTTTAGGACTTTGATGTTGAACGGGATAAATATGGCCGGTTAGCAACAGCTCGTAACAATGAAAGAGTTCGTGATGATAGATTTAGGGATCCGCCAAGGCCACAAGGTGGTGGGCGTCAAAATATGAATGCTCCTGCTGGTGGAGGTGGTGGTGGTGGAGGCGGTGGCGGCGGCGGTGGTGGCGGTGGTGGTGGCGGAGATAGCAAATTTGGGAATACCTATGGTCTAAGTACTCAGTTTTTAGAATCTTTAGGGGGAATACCTATGGTCTACGTACTCAGTTTTTAGAATCTTTAGACATTAATGGACCTTTAGTTACTAGAGTATTCGTAGCAAATGTAAGTATATCTTGCGATACAGTTTGTATAATATTGACAAATTAAGTATATGAAAGTTTATTAAGTTATTACTTTGTATATTTAGCTTGACTACAAAGTGGATGAAAAGAAATTATTAGAAGTGTTTAAATTAGCTGGTAAAGTACTACATGTTGAATTAGGAAAAGATAAAGATGGAAAATCTCGAGGATTTGGAGTGGTAGAATATGACCATCCAGTAGAATCTGTACAAGCTATATCAATGCTTCATAATCAGCAACTTTATGATAGACGTATGACTGTGAGACTTGACAGAGCAAATGAACCAGACATGCCACCAAAATTACCAGAAGGTACCTTCTTATTTCCTAAGAAATATTTTATTTTGTTATATAAACATATAAAAATGAAAATTGATATCAATTCCAAAATAGGGTTAAAGGGAATTGGAATGGGTCTTGGAGCTGGTGGTAATAGATTAATGGATGTAGCTAGAAACATTCCTAATGTACAAGCAAATAATCCACCTGTTGTGAATCCTATTTCTGCTCCTGTGTTGGCTGCTGGTGCTTTTGGAGCTGGTTTAAACAATGTTGTGCCAGCACAGTTAGGTGAGTCTTACTATAAATGTAATATATAAAATAAGATAGATAGAGAATCTGACAATGATATATTTATATACCTATAGCATCTGCATTGACAAATTCAAATGCTGCAGCTCTTCAAGCAAGTCTTGCTGGAGGTCTAAGCGCTAACCTGACCACCAGTTCTTTGCTGAATTCGTCGTTAACAAATGAGTTGGCTTCTAACTTAAATAATTTCGGCGGAGGAGTTGGAGGTTTGTCTAATTTACAAGCCTCTTTAGCTGGTGGACAAGGCAACAATTCATTTGCGCCGCGAGGCTTATCTAAAATGGACAATGATGTAGGCTTCGGTGGAAACAATGCTTTTGGTGGTTCTAACTTCGGTGGTGGCAGAGATTTTGACGGTGGATTCAACAGAGGGGACAACGATCGTGTTCCTGGTGGAGGTGGTGGTTTTGCTGGAAATCAAGGTCAAGGAGGAGGTGGGAACAGACAGAATACTAATGGTTCTCGGCCGATGTCAGACACTATTCTTATAGGAAATGTATGTACTTTTCTTAATTTGTACACAATAACTAATACATGTATGTATATTTGTAAACATAAAGATAATTGTAACAGCTCCCACCAAACACAACATGGCAAATGTTGAGAGACAAATTTCAAGATGTTGGAGAGGTGAAATTTGCTGAAATGCGGGGAAGTGACATGGGCATGGTACGATTCGCATCTGAATGGGATGCTGAACGCGCTGTGTGTATCCTTTTAAAGAATATGCTAATAGTATAAATCAGTTTTGTCTATTTAAGAGAATACGCATTTTGAAGGGCATGTATCATTTTAAAGATTTTTCTTAATAATTTTTATATATAGCTATGATGAATCGGTCACGTATCGATGGTAGGACGATTGATGTTCGTCTCTACTAAAATCTGGGGAATACACTCAAGGTAACATTAATAGAGAACCTCTGCAGAATTTGATGCTTAACAATAATTTATTGATGCAGCGAGAGGAGACTGGGTGTTCGTATGTCGTCTGCAGGATTGTTCCGCTCCTGGTGACAATACTTGAAATTCATCCTAGTAGTGTGGCAGAACTTAGGACAGTGGGTGAGAAGTATCTGTCGTTGGAAGATCAACAGTTGTTTTATGCCTACTTCAACGTTGAAACACTCATTGGCTGCCGATGATCACCCTTCCTTGCTACAACTATTTCATTCGAAATTCTTTTACCAGATTATCGTTCCTTTTTACAGTGGAAGTCTACTAATTGTTCACTCCTAAATCGATCTTTTTGAGTGATCGACAAATAGTTTAGTTGTTAGATTTAGGTTCATAATGTTCTACGTAATCTGTAGGTTTTTCAGTATATAGGTTTATGATATTTACAGTAATTATCAAATGTAGCTTGTAAGTTTATTTCTTAGTTCTCACGAGAGATCAATCGATTTCCCCACATTCCGGTTGAACATGACGCTTTGGTCATTCGCGGAGTGGTTTATCGATCAGGGACAGATTAATCTTTCAAGCATAAATATTAAAGCGATATAGTTGTTACGGATTTTACAAGTTAAAGTTTATCCATGTATGATAGATACTTTCATGCACAATCCTACACACATCGTGGACGTGTGTCGATTTGTTTGTGGTATCGGTCGCACTCTATTCTTGTATCTAATACATAGTGATACATCATGGCTCAACAGGGGACTGTATTGTTTTCATTATAGTTCTGCGATCTGATCTTTTATTCGTCGCGTCACATCGTTTTAGTAACTTGGAGATTCAAGTGTAGCGGAGCATACAAAATTTTAGTTGTCATTAGGAAGGTCCCTTCCAATTCGCTCGTCTCGAGACTTCAGCGAATGAACATTGGATGACTTTATACCCAAAATTTGGCAGAATTTGTCTTACATATTGTGCATCAATCATATGTTTACCAAAAAATACAAAATATTTGTGTAAAGAACCAACAATTTTTAATATCTGTCGGTTTTTACAAAGTGCAAATAGAGGCTTTTCACAGCTAATTTTATATACATATTCTTTGGTAAACATATTTCCTCTCGCTATGTAGATCTCGAGGAACATTCTGCGCATTGTATAACACTCTTGTATAACCACAACATCATGACAGTGATTGAATAAAATCCAAATCCGTTTTGACTACAAAAAAATATGCTGGTCGTTGTGTTTTATTTCTGTGTTGTTGTGATTCTTTATACTTTAAGCAGGTTTAAGCTGTGTATATGCATTGGCATAGAGGATATTGTTTCCGCTACTTTTACATGTGCAATACATTTACCTAGAACGAGTTTTTTCAAATGTATTGCACTTAAGCAGAAATTTCTGCTTAAAAAATGTATAACTGTAGATATTAGTACTCCCTGCTTACTTTTGAGATTTATAAACTTCACTATCTGTGAGGCATGAATATTTGTTTACATCGCAGGTGAGATATTTTTCAGGTGATTGTGGTTTTCTATTCCTCTATGATGAATATATATTTCAAGAAGGAATAATTTGCTTGAAATTTATCAAATATTTGTTCCTTCATTAATGGCTACTGGAATGCATTGTTAATGTGATATTCGAATTATCAAGTTACATGTGGTACTCTTCTTTCGAAGATTGTTAAAAATTTATGCTATTGTTTGAAATAGTGGATTAACAGGTTTTGGGAAAATTAAAACTGTGGACGGTAATATAGTATTTCGTCTCTAACACTGTGGTTGATTCTTATTTTATTGTAGCATCTAGAGAGATTTTATTGTATCCTCCATATTTATCGAGAACTAGTTTAGAACTGCAAAATTTCTATATTCCAAGTGAATTTATGTAACGTAAGAAGCACAATTACTTATTATGACTGTAACTTCTATGGTAAGTGGTTGTAAATATTTTATGCTCTGGTCTTTGCCGCAATCGCCAATGAAATATTTAATGCGTGTTCAAATCACTATGCGTATGGAATTTTTTAATAACCATCGTCGATCTCCGCTGTGTGGTTGCCAAATTTGTTTCTTAACATTTGAAGGATGTGGTCTTTTTTTCTTATAATGTCATTGATGTCAGATAGGGTCTTATTTTATAACGCATGAGATCGTGTGCTATGGTTTGTTGTATTATTTCCATCGTAAGTGATTGATCGGTTGTGTTTTATTATTCCACGAGATATTTTGGAGGAAGGATATTATGTGTTTCGACGAACATAAAAGAATAGGGATAACGACATCTTCTCTTTGATATCGTTTAAACGCTCATTATCGAAATTGTTTGAATAAGTGTCTAAAAATAAAATTTTTTAATATAGAGGATTTAAATATATCTTGAGTAATTAATCACTTTTAAATTGCGGCTATCATCTTGCAGGAAAATTGGGTAAGTTCTACAATTTGTATAACAGATTTTTATGAATATGTTGTTCTTCCAGGGAAGCTATCTCGTCCAAGCGAAAAGTTATTAAGCGGTAAGTTTTGTAGGATGAAAATCCATTGGTATCTTATTAAATAGAAATAAATGAACATCTCGATATATTATTAATCACACCTGTATTTCCAGTCTTCACATTATAAAACAGTTAAATTGGGTGACTGAATGTAAGATACTTTTTTTGTAGAGAATCACAGTGTTTGTGTAAAAATAAAGTGTGTGAATATAATCACTGAAACAAAAATGTGTTCAAAAAGTACAAAACTCAAGTCGCATCAAGATCTCAATGGTATTATAAACTCTATATGCATTACTGTGAGAAAATTGTTATAGTTGTGCTATTTAGTGTCAAGTGCATTTGTTTATTTTCAAAAAAAGCACCTTACTAAAACACCTCGGATATATAATTCTTAAGTATATATAGTTTTGTATAATACTTATAATGTATATGTATGTTTATCACATTTTAAATAAAGGTAAGCTTAAATATTATAGATTAACATAATATATACGTAACTTCTTAAATCTTCTAATTGGCAAATTCTTTTAAGTAATAAACTCAAAAAACATGTTTATATGTATAATAAAAATGTTATGTCGTAGAATTTTTAACGTATAATTTTATTTTTCCCTATTTTTAATATATAAAAACGTATAAGTGATTTATATTTTAGATATTCCATGCTATATAAAAAAGTATATTACATAATTTTACTTCTGTTCTTATTTTTTATGTAACAATGAAAATGAAAGTAATTCCTACGATTACACAATTTTTCAATTTAACATATGAGTTATAACTAAATGTTATCAATGTAATTTGTATATTATGGCTTGTAATGGGGTTTATGTATAAGGGAAAAAGCTGTCAGCGTATACGATAATAAAATCATATTAACCGATATTTATGAGCTATCATAACCCATGTCAGTAATCTTAAGTGTTTTGTATTGATCAACATCAATATTAAGAATTTTTCTTTTATTGGACGAAATGAAGAACATAATTTAAGACTAATTTGAAATTCGTAACTATTTGAATTGTTCTTAACTCTTTACTAGCATTGAACGATACTAGAGTCGCAGAGGTTACTGACTCACTGATATTTAATTCTCTAAAAACCAGATTTATAACTAAAAATTACTGACAGCATATTTTACGTATGCCACATCATGGTATTATATGTATAATAATAGCATTCCTTTCTATGTTTCATACTTGCTTATTCGAAAAAGTATCTTAATATTAATTTTACACTTTCGAAAAAGATATAAAACTTTATCGTTGATTTTTCTTATTCTTTAGATAACGTATAAATATCTCTTGTAGCATTCTAAGCAATAGCCTATCGTTTCCACTGCACTAGTATCACTAGTGCATTTGAACAAAATCTTGAAGATGTTTTGGGACAGACTCAATATCGTATGCTTTCCTTACTACTCTCGCTGCTAGACAGGTGAGTTTAGTGTATCTCATGGGATATATCGAAGCATATGGGTGTTTATTCCGTACTAAAGTCTCATACGCGGTGTTACTCCATATCAATGATTGGAATGTGCTACCCATTTTATTAACAGCATCAATATGTGCACCAGCATCAAGAAGAATATTAACAAGATCGGTTGGCGGATGGAACATAGCAGCAAGATGTAATACCGTACTTCCGGTTGCATCTCTTGCTGAGACGTCAGCGCCAACTTTTATAAGAGCCTTTATTAAATGAGGAGAAGGAAACCTAAATGACGGAGATCTAGGACCAGCTCCGAATATAGTATTTCTTTCGCTAAAAACTAAATGCAACACAGTCCGATCCTACACAAAAAAGAAAAAGAAATTAATCTCTCAAAAAATTAATATATTTTTAATCGGTAAATAAATTCCTTCGTATTAACTTACGTTATTGTCTTTGGGATTTACTCGAACTAATTCATAAAGCGCTTGATGCAGTGCAGAATATTCCGCAGTGTCTTCTTCTGGCATTTCGTGAGTCAATAAACTTGCTAGGTGTAAAGTGGTGACGAGAACTCTGTTTAAGTAGGCAATATCACGTCCACGAGCTGATCCTTTGTCCAACATTTGTTTTCCTAATTTCACTTCCAAAACCTGCAATAATATAGATTGTATATTGCCATTTGCAAACAAATAACGAATATCCAGTATATTTTTGAAACATACAGCTTTCCTGAACACTCTAAGAAGTTCTTCTCTCTGAATCTGTGGTACTCTACGTCCTGTATTTATTTGTCTACCTATCATAAAACTAAAGAGTTCGGTAAAACTAAAAAGTGAACTCTGGGTCATTGGATCGAGTGGTTCCAGCATGCTTTGCTGCATATCTAAAGCATAGTTCCAAAGTTCTATACAACGACTGAACATTCCACCATCCGCGTATACAGCTCCTCTGTAGCGAATATAATAACTGGTGTCAGGATGAGCTGGTCCTAATATTCGTTCTCTAATTACAAGTGCTTGCATTCGCATTTCATCCGGATCGTTTAATAATCCATCCAGTGCATCAGGATCGGTAATTTCCCGTGCAAAATCGTAAGCAGCTACAAGTGGTGATGGTCTTGGTTTCAGTATCACTGGATCACTTCGATATCTGAAGTACGACATTGACAAATATTTCAATGATCTATGAATATTATAAAATGTAGAAATTATACGTACACACATGTATTGTACATAAAGGATGCCCCAAAAAGATGTATATACACTTTGAATGATTATACATTGTTATACCATGCATTCGTGAGATATTTAGGGGTGAAGAGGACTTTTATTTCCAACAAGGTGGTGTACCTCCCCACCACCACCGTGAAGGTCTGCCTTCATGAATATTTGCCGAACCGATAGATTGAAATAGAGATAGTGTTGAATACTTCCAGCGATTCCCAGATCTCGATGGACTTTTTTTTATGGGGATTCATCAAAGAGAAAGTTTATGACACAAAAACGGCAGTAGTTTATGAATTGAGATCAGCTATTAAAAGACTATGTATCGAAATACCGAACCAAATGATTCGTTTTGTTTGCGATTTCATTGCTCTACTTTGTCAGCAGTGCCTGGATCGTTCAAAGGTCATCAATTTGAGAGCATTTGTGATGACTAAAAAATTTCGATATCTGTCTTCTTTGATTCGGAGTTTTAATCTTACTTATACCTTAATAAATTCGCTAAATTTATAACCATTCGAAGTGTGTATAAATTTCTGGGCGTGTATTGCTGAAATTCATTTGTTTCTACAAAATTGTACATACCTTTCGTTCATTGCTTCTTTCCAGCATTCAAGTGCTCCCATCATGTCTCTCTTTTTATCCACATATGTAGCGCCCAGTAATTCCAGTGCGTCTATGCGTTCCTTGCGATTCACCAAGTTCGGCATACTGATAAAGTATTCGACAATGTGCTTATGACCTGTAAAATCAGAAAGACTTTGTGATAATTCACTTCCTACTAGAGAGTTTCCTCGTTCACTTAATAAAACACTCAGTTAAACATTAATTGTAATCGTCTTAAGGAAACCTTCGGGGTTGTGCGTGGAACATTCTGCTTTAACCTGTTACTGCTGCCGTAAGGAGTGGTGACATCCCGTAGGAGTCCACGTCCATTCGGGCACCATGCTTGAGGAGTACCTTCACGACTTCTAGAGATCCGCTCTCAGCACAATCGTGAAGTGCTGTGTTACCCTTTATGGATTTTCGGTTAACGTTCGCTTTCAGGGTAAGTAGGTACTTGACGATTTTAAGATGACTTTTGTAACAGGCGATCATCAGACTTGTATGACCATGACGGTTTGCCATCTCAATATCTGTAATCAAACAGCGTATTCATCGTTAATTCCATTTTTTTTTTATAAGAAAAATAAAACATTATTACTTCACGACATTTATCATAATACAGAAAGTTTCTATACTAATCGGAAGTTCTACGGTGACTACATCGATGTACACTTTTGTTTACAACTTTAGAAAACAGTACATGACTATTAGAAGATGGAAACGTTCCGGTTGTTTTTAAGAGATATTTGAGTGATTCATACCTGCACCGTGATCCACCAAAAATCTAACAATATCGAAGTGGCCGTCGAAACAAGCTGCTCGTAGAGGAGTGGAAAGTGTTTTAGTGGTGGCATTTACCCGGGCGCCATTTTTCACTAGTAACTTAACTAAAACCAAGTGACCGGCAGCTGCGGCGCACCACAAAGGTGGCGCGCGCTCGATCATTTCTCCATCGAACATCACTGTTGAAATAAACGAAATATTACAAATTATATTAATCGAACAATATCCCAAGTAATATTATTACATAAGAAAGATATCAAGGATGAGTTTTAACATGAGTTACGATCAACAGATAAATTATTTGAATTAGAAATAGATCTGATATCAGTTCGTAGTTACGATCGAATTCGTTCGATAATTATCGAATTTTAACACTTAGCCAATCGAATAGAGAGATCTCCCCTCTGTGAAGAACCGAATGCGTGACCGAATGGGGAGATCTTTCTTCTTGACTTTAGCAACGCGTTTTCCTTTTTTTTGTTGTTATTATCAGTTATTGTTTACCTGGAATTATTCCCAATTAATTGCGCCACTTTTTCTGCTTTTATAAAGTACAGTATATAACAAAGTAAACCAATTTAGTGGTGTTAAAATTAATGAAAAAGTTACACTATCAGCTATGACTAAATAAAATTATAATCGAACGATACCACATTGTAAAAAAATATTAAAATGCATTATGAATTTTTAATTTCACGTTCAATTCGTGTTACTTATCTTTAGCCAACTTTAACGTTTTTAATTATACCTATATTTCTTTATACTTTTAATATATACTTTCAATTTGATGTTTTCTATAAACAATATGTGAAATCGTCAAATAAAATCATTACCGCAAAATATAATTAATCGCTTAAATAATTTTTACACTTCTTTGTTTTTTAAGTAACGAATATTAGTCTTTGATACTTGAAAAAATGCGCGGTGAACAGCGTATAGGTTGGCTTATTCGAGCGTGGTTGGCTAAATGTTAAGACATGTAAATTACAAAAAATATGCCGTATATACTATTTTTAAAATGTTCTAATGTTTTTATTTATCAGAATTTCAGAATTACCGACATCAGTTACATTTAAAATTCAAGTTTTGAAGGATATGTAACCTAACGGGTTATAATACATATATATAACTTTACCGACGAACTTGTTCTACTATTTTCGCAACTCATTTCGAATATTACGATAGAAACTACTTCAGACAATTCTGTCATCCAATCATTTCACGCCATTTGGAATACTACAATGGTGAAGGTGAAACATTAGGTTGAAGATTTATAGGCTTACGGAAGCACATTTATGTATGTCCTCGATTTCGCCACAATCGATCAGCTTAAGCGGTTGTAATTTGAAATATGCTGACATATATGAAAAATTTGACAAAGACAGTTTTATAGCGCAGTCACGATTTTACCTAAACCAGGTTGATTGACATTCGCTCCACATTTTTCAATAAGGTATTCAGCCACGTCATAATGTCCATTTCGGCAGGCGATAACTAACGGTGTCGTACCATGGCTTGTTGTACTGACCAACTTCACTACCTCATCTTTCTCTCGATGTTCCAGTAATTCCTGTAACAGATAAATTAAGCGTTTTGTTTTTAAAGATATCAATGGTTTCGTGTCAAGAGTGGACAAATTGAACAAAATTGTCCGCCGTTGTTTTTGTTTCTGAGATATAAAATTATTATATAGTTCCGATCTATCCGAATGATAATCGAAGAGTACACGTAATTAGCGACGTTTTTAGATACGTCGAACAATTTGTTTAAAGAAGATCGACTACCGTGTCGTATTATTAATTGGGCTATGCTTAATCTCTCTTATCGAATCAGCTCCACGATTGATATTTGCGCTGAAACATGTAATTCTATGAAAATACCACGGCAATGGATACTGCGAATATTTCAAGGAACAAAGAATCGATAACGACGAATGAAAATCGTACGTATTGTTGTATCAGGTTGAATTTTGAAAATATAACGTTTTCGAATAATTGCTATAATTCTCTTTAAACTTCATTGTTTCGCTAATCGCTGCTGTACCTTTATCCGTTATTTTCAAATCACAATTTCTCAAAATTTAGAAAGCGAATTTAATGAAATGTTTCGTAATCGCTTATCATTAAACTAGTTACTAACTAAACTAACTAGCTAATTAAACTAAAAGAAATCTGAAAAGTAATATCCACGTTGGAGGAGAGAAAATTAACGCGCATCAACGATATTTCCCTCGCCGTGTAGCTTTTCTTAAAACGTATATGAAAAAGATAATTGACGTATTCCACTTATTAACGATATTGGTAGTGAGCGTACAATGAAAATTGCTTCGATGACTTAGGAGAAAATGAGTTATGCACTTCATGACTGAGAACAAGCACAGAGTCACGGAGTTGCTAAACTGAAAGCAGCGTCGTTAAGTTACGATCAAATAGAAAATTTGGCCTAACTTTGTTCGCTACCACGAAGGCACAATTCTGGAAATACGCGTTTCATATTTTCACTGACTTACGCTCGACAGTAAGGACCCCGTGTTGAACCGTTTGATAGAAACTTTGTCCTTAGACGTACGTTTGTTGACAGAATCGACAACGACTCTCGTGCTACTGGAATAATATGCCAACTAGACGTGAATTTTGAGCTGACAACTGAACTTGGACGAATTACCGCGATCCACGCTCCCCAGCGACGGATCCTTCGTTCGACGAATAATAAATATGTAAAATTCGCCAGGCTCTTGTCTTTATATAATCACAGTATAGCACACTCCTACAGAGATCTCTCTCTTTTCAAAGCTTCGCTATTCTCTCTTGCGATTCTTTATTTTTCTGTCGTCATCATCTTCTTATGATTACTGATTCTCGCACAGTCCAGCTCGTTAAACCTCGGTCCACATTAATTTATTTAATACTTATTTAAATTTATACACTTTCCTCCTACTTTTATTCTCAATTCTCTTGTCAACGAAACGTTTTTTTAAGTGTTTCACTTTACAAGACTAACTCGAGTGTTACAATTACCAATTTTCGGCGGTTATTCGCGGACCAAGACTTTTGTATAATATGTAAACTCGTAACGAGATATAACGTCGGTGAAACATTCGTACAGACGACACGTGGAGATGTCGGGGCTTAGAGTATCTCTCGCGTCCCTGAACTATAGGTCGATAATATTTGTACCAGATGATCTGTACGCGAATACGGAAAATTTTCTTCGTAAACACAGCCGCAAATTTCCGTTTCCTCTTGGCACAATAATTAGTAGAAACACGTAGCGAATTATCGAATATGAATCGTGTCTTCGACAACAGAATACAAATTTCGAGAATATAAATTTCAGTTTTTACTTGTTTCCGTCGAGTTTCGTCGTTCACAATACCGCGAGCTGTCGTCGCTTCTCGTATTGTCACGTACGTACGTTTTGCAATTTGACGCAGTAAGTTGAAGGAAAAACAGGTAAATATTAAATAATTGTCGACGCGCGTTCGGTGTATTGTTCGCGAAGTAAACTTTTATACAGTGTGTACACAGCGGTGAAAAGCGCTTGTACACTCGGACCACGTGATGTCTGCGAGGTCTTAACGAGACCGAGTTTTAAAGATACCGCGAGGTGACAGGATTCTTGCGTCACGTGGCCGGGTAAATTTACCGAAGAACGAAAAAACTGCGTCAATACGCAAAACCAAATTGTCATCGGTGACTTTCGATGCTCGCTCGAAACAACGTACACTTCGACTGACCGAAGCCGAAAATCCTTAAGTAGCAGTTGGTCTCCGGAGAAATCATCGTTCACCACCACCGTGGGTACGTGTAGATCCCGTTAAACGAATAATCGATGACACTGGGCCCACGTCCGCGAACGGTGAATGGACAAACTGTCGTATACTGAAAAGAGGCTGAGAGAAGCGAAAAGGGAGCGCGAGACGAACAGGCTTACTTTACTCTGACGTTTCCTCGTCTCATCGTTTATTACTTTGTCTTCTCTTCTTTTGCTCGGTTGCCTGCTTCTGCAGCTGTTTTTCTATGCCTCGTGCATACACCTTTCTCCACCTTGGTTTCTCTATGGTAACTCTCTTTCTTTAGAATTACGCGCGTGCACGCGTGCGCACACGGATCGCAACGTAAAACAGACAGCAGATTCCGTTATACCATTGACCGATATTCTTTTTCGTGGGCCCGCCCGCTGCTTTTTGGGTCTTGCACCGGCAAGAAATCTAGGCAACGAGAACGAAACGCAACGAAACGATTCCCGTCGTAAAGACCGAACTTGGCTTAACGGTGAACTATATGATCGACCTCTTTGCTACAGACATACCATTAAGTCATTAACGTCGAGTGAAACAACCGTTTTAGATATATTTTATGGACGCGAGCAAGTGTTGCAGACAATAATTCACGAGGAAGAAACGAATCGATCTGGGTGAAACGAAAGATATCGGACTGTAACACTTTGTCGGACATGTATATAAATCACTACATCAAATTACGGCGTTGCGAATCGTTATAAAATGAAGATATAATGTAAAATATGTTGTGTTGTAAATGTATATGTAAATGTATTCTATCGTTATGTTATTATTATATTAAGTATCTTCTTTTCCCATCTTGGACCAAGTTCCGGCTCTATGATACATGCATTACCTACTTTGATTTTTCGATTCTCGCTTAAAACCTACATTCCCAATACGTAAAATATAAATTTTACCATCGATTTTATCATCAATCATACGCATCCACGTTGTATTCGTATAAATATACAGGGTGGTCGGTAACTGGTGGTACAAGCGGAAAGGGAGTGATTCTACGTGAAAAAAGAAGTCGAAAATATAGAATAACAATTTTTCGTTTGAGGCTTTGTTTTCGAGAAAATCTACTTTGAATTTTCGCTCGGTACGCGTGCGGTACGTTATAACGGAGCTCACTCTATTGATGGAAAAATTTAAAAAAAATTAAAAAGAAATTAAAAAAAAATTTTTTTATTCTATATTTTCGATTTATTTTTTGCGTAAAATCACCTCCTTTCCACTTGTACCGCCAGTTACCAACCACCCTGTATATCAAAGGAAAATAAAGTTTTGTCGTCGAATGTAAAAATTATTGCCTTCTAGCGACCAAAAAAAAATTATTCTCCTATTCGTAGCTAATTTTTACGATTGAACGAAATACAATTTTTTTGTATTATTTACACTTTATATTGAATTTATATAAAACTGAATATTTCGATTATTGAATTTACGGTGTAATAAATAATACAATAATAATAACAATAACCATACACAATTTGTGTTATGTATAATCTGTTAAAATATAATATATATAATATATAATAACGCTGTTAAATTATTAACGTTATAGAATTGCTACTGTGCCTACCTATTAGGCCGCATTTGTCTACCGAAGTATCTTATCGTTCTAATTATTGACACAGTGTATTAACCATTAACAAAAGATAATAGCTAGTCAGTTTTACCAGTTTTCACCAGATTATTATCGAACCTCTCTCTGTTTCTCACACACGCGACGTGAAACCTATTTACTCTGTTAGTTTGACTAAATTGCATTTTCTTCGCATTCCTTGTATATATTCAATTATCATGTTAATAACCGCTTGTATTCTGGTAAATATTTTAAGTAAGTGACGTTTCCGACACGTCTTCAGCGTTTAAAGCGGAGGACATTTCACTTTACCCTATCGTTAATCATCATATTTTTAACGTTTGCACGATAAATTCATTTTATAACTGCTATTGTAAATTTTATGGCTATTCTGTTTATTTCACATTCTCTTGGATATAGGACGAACGGTATACGTCTATTTGTTAAGAAAATAGAAACTATCGATGATGTCTTCGTAGGCGTAACAAGTCCAAGAAGAAACTACAGTGAATCAGTTTCTATAACCTAATACTTCTATAAAAAGTATCGAACGATATTACCGGCTTAGCAAGGACGTGAAATTTTTTCGATTTTCGCGAAAAGCGATGCAAATGTCATATATATTTTTAGACCAAAAGTAAACCGATTACTCTTTTGTGTTTGAGTTAATAGGCAGAATACTTGATAGAGATCTTGCGATCTTAATCGACAGATCGAACAAATACAGTGGCAATGATAGTAACGATAGAAGATCATTTTTAAAAAGTTCGAACTAATAATATTGCAATATTATATAATACGTGCAAAGTTTCAAGCTTTCCTTTCTCGTCCCAACTTCTTTTCTACCCTTTCTATCTCCCGTACTCTTTCATTTTGCTTCTTCCTTATTTTCAAATCTATCACACGTGAACACAACTAAGTTTCCCTAATAATAAAAATAATAAATTGTTAGAAACATTCGGAATATTATATATTAGAATAGTTCAGAAACGTTCAGAATATATATATTATATATTCTGCGACAAAGAATGGTTAAATTCTTAATTAATAACTAGAAACGTTTAATACAAATCTTTCTACGTTCAAAGTACGAGATTTTACGTTCATTAAAATGTATCGCAACACTTTTGGCGTGAATTATAACTGGCATTTCGTGACTGCGAAGTAAGAAACTGAATAAAACTATTTTATGAGACGT